GCTAAATGTACTGAATCCATTATCCAACAAATCAGATCTTCAAGATGTTTTTCTACTTATATGTATATGCATTAAAAATAGTCTGTCCTGCACAAACCAGGAAGAATATAGAAAGATTTTTTACCACTCTTTTTCAGGATTCTCCTCGCATTCATCAACTCAAAGTTTTTTTTTTCAATATTACATAACTGAATCCCAAATCAAATTCATTTCATCTCCAAGCTTCTATAGTCTGAAACACCAGCCTTTAACCTTAAAAAGTCATATCCGCCATTACTGCTGCTGCTACCATTAATAACACAACTGCATTGATTTTCACTGCAGGCAAAACATACACTGCCAATTCTTCCTCCTGTCTTCAATGGCTCAGTCTGTGGTTGTTGACAAGGAGGACTGATTCTAAGCTCAAGATTCAAATCCGGGATATTTTCTTCTGTGTTGGAAATCCCAGCAGTGATTTTGTGTTCTTCTTCTTCTTCTTTAGTAGTGTTTGCAGCAACAAAAGAAATTGTTGTAGTTTCTTGTGCTGGTTCACTGATTGGCCTGTGAGTTGTGGGATCAATACCTCTGCTCAAAAGTTTCCTTCTTATATGAGTATTCCAATAATTTTTTATCTCATTGTCTGTTCTTCCTGGTAATCTACCTGCTATAAGGGACCATCTGTACAATAGGTGCCAAAAAATCCCATTAAAAATGATCGTGATTAGTAATTCTAACAAGAAATCATTCGTTTTAAGACACTGAGAGGCGTGAAACCAATGTTCTAATCTTTTTCTTCTTTTTAGTGAAAACTTACAATAGCGAGTCGACGCATTGAAAAGACCAGTTGAAATCCTTTATATATGATTTGACTCGACAAAATTCAATATATATGAATATGAAATGGACTTACTTGTTACCAAGAAGGCTATGGAATTTGATAATAAGTTCATCTTCTTCCTCAGAGAAGTTTCCACGTTTGAGGTCAGGCCTCAAGTAATTGATCCACCGGAGACGACAACTTTTGCCACAACGAAGAAGGCCGGCAGCCTTGGGCAACGACCGCCAGCAGCCTTCACCGTGAGCTCGAATATATGCAATAAGACGATCATCTTCTTCCTTAGTCCATGCTCCTTTGTTTGTATGAGCTTTCTCACAGCAAGGAGACCTTCCCATTGAGTAGAAAACAAGTGAAAAACTTCTTCCTCAACAGAGCTAGTAGCTAGGTGTAATAAATAACTATTGCTTATTCTATCCCTTTTTGCTCTTTTTTGAGACGGGTTGGGGTTTTAGTACTATTGACTTTGGATAAACGAAAGTCTCTAGCCTTTATGAAGAATTCTTAAGCATGAGGGCCGGCCCCTTCACATAAGCTTTTGCATATGTGAGAGAGAGAGAGAGAGAGAGAGCTTCTAGATGTGAGTTGGTAAGACAGGTTAGAGAGAGTTGGTGGAAGCATCTATCTTGATGATACTAGGCATTATCAAATATCATAGAATAATTAGAAAAGTGAAATGAATAATAAGTTATTATAGAACGTTTGGTGGAATGTGTTGAATAATATTAACGAACGAAGAAAAAGTTCAAATCTCGAAAGTTATTTCGTATTGTATTATCTAAACTTACGTACTAAACAATGTTCCTTAAGTAAAATAAGACTGTAAGTCCCTGTTTGATTTGACTCAAAATCAGATTTTTAAAAAATTTTGACAAATTTTTTTATCAAATGAAACGTGTGGTTGAAAAAATGATAAAAGTTGTCGATTATAGCCTTTGAATCACCCTCTATTAATAATTATTTACCTCACCCTCTAAAATTCTCCCCAACAAAAAGGACCACACTATGCACCAGAATACTTTTGGCACTAATATAATAACATCATGTTGTTGGAACTAACACCCTTAATGATTTATGGTAAGTTATATACAACAAACTAAATTTTACTCTAATAAATTTGGAGTCGATTACATCAAATTTTTATTATTTAATTTAAACCACAAAATTATGCAGGCATCGTTTTAAGGATCTTGTTTAACTTTTCCTCTTCTACTATTCATACAATGTTTTCATCGTATTTGTTTTTGTTTTCCTACGACCCTTTTAAGTATTCTATATTGTAAGTGTATGTCTCCGTCAAGACCTATATTTTATTTTTCTTTTCGAATAAAAACTGAGGATTATAATTTAAGTTTATTCCCCTTAGTCTTGAACATATATTAATTATTGATGGTAGTTGATGATACTATTTATTTTAAATGCAGTAGGAGAAAAGAGGGTTTTTATGTGTAATTTTTATATTAATGTTAAATTGTTAGGGCTTCTAGAAGAGTTGGGAGTTGAGGAAATTAAGGGAAAATGAGTGTGGTTGTAGTTGTATGTGGGCTTTGGTTCACCTTCCACCCCCAACCTTGTGGTGGAAGTTTGTTTAGGCAGCAAAAAGTAGGGTAAGGGATGGATTGGATATATTCAGTCCCTGTTTGAGCCACAATATTTTTTTTATTCTCGTTTTTCTGTTCATTTTTAATCATACATTTTTCAATAAAATAATATTTTTAATCACGTCAAAATTTTTCCCTTTTTTTAACCACATTTTTCCCATTACATAAAAAAATGCATTTTTGAAGTAAAAATGTGCACCAGATAAAAGCTCATATTTTTGTTCTTTCTTATATCATGCCATCCCATCATTTGTTACCCACCACCAAATTTAAATTTCCTTCAACCCTCCTCCCACCCACCGACACGTACCCCGGTAGCATAATGAGGATGGACAAATTTATTTATTTATCTTTCTTAACCTCATTTGATGAGTTATTTACTAATAATTGGAAAAAAAATAAATAAATAATTACAGATTTTGCAAGTGTGCATATGACTTAATACCTTACATGTATGGGAATTGTTCATAAATTGTTTAAATTATAAATAGATAGAAATTAATGGTTGATAAGTGGATAGTATTTTTGGATCCCTAAAAATGTGTAGATGAAATGTTTATAAATATGAGAGAAACGTTGAGAAAACTAAGGAGTCCACATGATTGAAAGCTAGAAAAAAACTCCACCTTTACATGTGCCCTCGCCATGCCCTTTGTCATCATAAGTCGTGTGAAATACTGATTGATATCGTAAAGGGTCTGATTTATTAAAAAGTTGATGGATTTATTTGTATGTAATTGTCTTCAATATATATGCTCTCATCCTTTAACTCTATCCATTAAGTTTTGATAAGTTGAGAAGGGGAGAGATCTACCAACTTGTGTAATTTCATGTGTATTTTACCTAACTCTTCACCATTTTTGGACTGTCCATAGTCCATTAATGTCTCCATCATTTTTAATATGCATATAAAGCAAAGTATCAAAATCCTATCCAATGACTTGTAGCATTTATTTCTTGTGGCATTTAATTCTCCCCCATTTCTTATGGATTGGAATTTGTCCCAACAATCAGTTAGGTAGATTAATGAAATTTATCTAACCAAACTAGGGTTCCTCATAAAATCACATGATACCTTACCACGTGTTGTACATGATCTTTTGCGTGATCGCATTAAAAACGCCTTGCACGTTGCAGTTTGACTTGAACTCAAAAGTTTGACGTGTACTACTCTAATACCACATTCGATTATCTAATCAAATTACCAAAGAGTAACGTAATAGAGTCGATGATATTAGGAGCAGAGCAGAGCAAATTACACCAAAATTTAATTGTGGTGGCAAAAATTGAAAATTACAAGGACTTTTTGAAAATCTTGAAAAAAAAATGGGTAAATTTTAAATTTTCAGATTTACTGACCCCACTGTAAATCAGCCCTTGGACGATATAATCTAACATGACAGCCAATTGAGCAGCTTGTGGATATCATGTGCTTTGGTATAGAAATAAGATTTATGGTACTGTCATAGAAAACTTTTACCTACCTCTTTTGTTTTTTCTTCCTTCCCCCATGTGAGTCCCTTGAAACTTAGCCAAAATTGGGTCTGCGTCAACTGCCCCACATTTGGTGGATAAAGCTCCACTTATTTACATCCTAAAAATCACTTTTATTCGTGTCCTCTCATAGTAGAGAATTGCTTACAAGTAATGCAGTAGATTTAGATTTTCGGTGGGCTTGATAAAAAATTTTGTAGTCGGGTTACAAGTAGAGGTGTAAAGATGGATCGAGTTGTCCTTCTGTTCTTGATTTGTTCTTACTGAAGTTCAAAGTAATGTGCACCAAACTCGCAAGTAGAGGTGTAAAGATGGATCGAGTCGCACAAACTTGGGACAAGTTAGGCCCTTGGTTAGCTCAATGCAAACCGATCAATGTTGAGACTAATTTTTTTAGGGTGGTTGTTCGTTTTTTAACTAGACCACACTAGGTAACATGTTTTAGTGGGGAACAATGAAAAAGCAAAAAAAAAAAAAAAAAATACACCATATGTTGACTATCCGACTGATTATTAATAAACTCGCTATTTAAGGAGTTGTGTAAATTTATTACCGTACCAAAAATTTATCCTTCTAGTTATAGATACAAGAGTGTGTTTGAGCCCATTTTTTGAAAGCATTAGTTTTATAATAGTGATTTTTTTTATTTTTTTATTTTTTTGAAAAAATTGTCGTTAAAATGTAAGAAAGAATTTTGAATTTACGAGTACCATTATTTTATTAAAAAATATATAATTAAAAATGAGTTTGAGAAAAAATTGAATTTTTATGTAACGGGGCTCAGATGGGGGCTAAATTTACAATCAGTCTATTATCTCAATTCCATATTCCACACCAGTTTCTATGTAGGTTAAATACAATTTTGGGCCTTAAAGTTGCAATAAAATTCCAAGTTAGTTCTTAAAGTTATTTTTTTATTAAAATCAGTCACTAAAGTTTCCTAACAGTTCAATTTGGTCACCTAGTAAGTTAGATTAATATGAAATCCTATGTGTACTAGATTAAAGCCATTGTATACTAACGCGGCGTTAATTCCATTTCCACGCAATCCTTAACAATGTTAAAAATGGAATGACGAAAGCCTAAAGCTCTTTATTTTTTTTTTTTTGCCTCCACATTTAATTCACATTTTGGTCTATTTTAGGTATTACATTCAAATTCCAACAAACATGAAATTAATAGGAAGAAAATGGACTTTAGGATTTTGTCATCCATTTTCAACATGATTTAGAAAAGTAAAAAATTACCATTGCTCACAGCGACGGAGTGAGGTGGGGCCACTGGGGTCCTAGGCCCCTACTAAAATGTAAGATTTTACTTTTATGAATTTTTTGAATAATGCTCCTTGACAGGATCAATGGCAAGAATGGAGGTGACGGGATGGTATGGCTGACAATATTGATTGGGTGTTTTTTTTTTTTTTCAAACTGTTCAATCATGTATTGACTCGTGCCCCCGTTGTCATTGAACCATCACTATAGCAAGATTGGACATTTTTTATTATATTATTTAATATTAGTATATTATGTGTTTGAACTTTTTTCAATGGTTAAATTAGTCCCAAGGGTACTGAGTACCGACTCAACTGGTTGGTTGAGCTGGTACACAGTAGCTTTAACTATGTATACATTTTTTTTTTTTTTAATGTAAATCACACAAGCAGATTTACCAAATTGGATATGTTAAGAAACTTTAGTGATTGATTTGGAACAAAATAAACATTAAGGACGAACTTAAAATTTAGCGACAACTTTATGGACCAAAGGTGTATTTAAACCATTTTCATGCACTTGAGCAAAAATATTTGAATATGAATTTTTCAAAATAGTTCTATTTTACAATCAAACTAAAAATATCCCCATTTAATAGAATTATTTTTACAATCAAAGTGAAAATGGCCACATTCAAACATACAATTTACCAAAAAACTTTCATGCAAAATTATCAAAAATGGGATTAACGCTGGAAAAAGAAAAAATGATGTTTAGACTCACCAAAAAAATGAATGTTTTCCAATTCTTTCCATAGAAACAAACATGATTTTCAAATTTACTTTTTATTAACAAAACTTACTTTCTAGAAAAAGTAATTTTAAAGTCTGGTCAAAGTATCAAAGACAAGATATGACATTATTATATTTACATCAACCATCTTTCTTCGAAACAAAGAACTTAAAAGCGTAATGTTATTGTAATGATAACGAGCTTTATAGGTAAATGT